GGTGAAATTTCTGAGCTAAAGAGAAAGTACTATTTAAAAATTTTAAACTTTATTTTTGAATAGATAGTATATTCACGAGGTTCAAAATTTTAAAGGCATCTCCCCACCTCTGTTCTGAAGTCAGCTAGTTCCCCTCCCCAGAGGCAATTGCTGTTACCAATGTCTTATTTTCTTCCCAGAGATATTTTATGTACGTATATAATATATACATGTACATAGCATGTGTGTATGTATATATACACACATATAAAATATATGCATATGTACATATATATCTCTCTATATATACATATATGTATATACATAATTTTTTTCACAAATGATAGTATCCTCTATATGCTATTTTCTTTTTAAAAATAAATTTATTTATTTATTTATTTTTTGGCTGTGTTGGGTCTTCATTGCTGTGTGTGGGCTTTCTCTAGTTGAAATGAGTGGGGGCTACTCTTCATTGCGGTGCGTGGGCTTCTCATTGTCGTGGCTTCTCTTGTTGCGGAGCACGGGCTCTAGGCACGCAGGCTTCAGTAATTGTGGCTTGCGGACTCTAGAGCTCAGGCTCAGTAGTTATGGCGCACGGGCTTAGTTGCTCCATGGCATGCGGGATCTTCCCAGGCCAGAGCTCGAACCCGTGTCCCTTGCATTGGCAGGCAGATTCTTAACCACTGTGCCACCAGGGAAGCCCAGATTTTTTTATTTTTAATTTGTTTTTAGACCGCATCACGCAGCTTGCGGGATCTTAGTTCCCTGACCAGGGATCGAACCTGTGCCCCCTGCAGTGGAAGCGCAGAGTCCTATCCACTGCACCACCAGGGAATTCCCTTCTATATACTATTTTTACACTTTGCATTTATCACTTAAATCATCTTGGAGGGCTGTCCATGTCAGTACATAAAGAACTTCCTCATTTTTCTTTAAGCAGCTGCATGGTATTTCATTATATGTATGTATTGTAATATACTTAAATAGTTCTCTGTTGATGGACATAGAGGTTGTTTACTAATTATATATGACTATATAACAAATTACCCCAAAATATAATGACAAAAACCACAATAATTTATTTTCTCTTATGGTTTCTGTTGGTCAGAAATTTGAGAGGGGGACTTCCCTCTTGGTGCAGTGATTAAGAATCTGCCTGCCAATGCAAGGGACACGGGTTCAAGCCCTGGTCCTGGAACATCCCACATGCCGCAGAGCAACTAAGCCCGTGCACCACTACTGAGCCTGCGCTCTAGAGCCCACAAGCCACAACTACTGAGCCCGTGCACTTAGAGCCTGTGCTCCACAACAAGAGAAGCCACCGCAATGAGAAGCCCACGCATCGCAGTGAAGAGTAGCCCCTGCTGGCCACAACTAGAGAAAGCCCGTGCACAGCAACAAAGACCCAACACAACCAAAAAAGAAAAAGAAAAAAAAAAAGAAATTTGAGAAGGACCCAGCTGGGCAGTTCTCACTTGGGTCTGTCATGAGGCTACAGTCAGATGTTGGCTGAGGCCACAGTCATCTGAAGACTCAATTGGGGCTGGAGAATCATTTCTAAGGTTACTCACTCACATAGCTGGCGAGTTGGTGCTGTCTGTAGGCTGAGTGCCCCAGTCCTTTCCACATGGAGCTCTCCACAGAGCTGCCAGAACATCACTTCTGCCACATCTTATGGGTCGAAGCAAGTCACCAGGTCAACCCAGATTCAAGAGGAGGTGAAATTGGGAATTCCCTGGTGGGCCAGTGGTTAAAACTCGAGCTTCCACTCCAGGGGGCATGGGTTCAATCCCTGGTTGGGGAACTAAGATCCTGCAAGCCAAAAAAAAAGAGGAGTTGAAATAATTCCACCTTGTGGTAGTAGAAGCAGCAAAATCATGTTGCAAAGAGCATGAACACAAGGGTGGGGGTAATTCTTTGCAGGGCCATTATTGTAACAGTACTCCATAGGGATGGTGCACAAAGTTCCTACACTGGGTCAGCATGCCGCACACACGCACCCAGAGACCGATGAACTTTAGCCTCACTCTTGACAACAACCTGGCGCCTCCCAGCTTATTCCTAACTCCCTTCTCAGCCAGTCCAGCTCAGAAAGCTCTGCCCATTGGCTGTGCCTCCAGTTTGGGGCCCTGTTTATGCCCTTTGGCCTTGCTGATGCATGTGAGGACTTTGATTCAGATTACCTGCCAGTCTTCCCGCTCTTGGGTGGCCCCTACTCTGCTTCCTGGAACTCACAGCCCCACCCCCTCAGCTGCCCTCTGGCAGGGCCTGGTCTGCCCTCCCCCTGGGAAAGTTCATACAACACCAGTGGATTCTTCTTGACCAATTTCTCAGGAAAACTTCCTAATACATCTGAAAGTACGATATATGTCTTTCCCTTTTTATTCACCCCAACCTAATAAGCTCCAGTAATTCAGACCTTTGAGAAATCTACAATTTATGCTCCAAATTTTAGTCCCCTCCGCTTTTTTCTTGGTCTGTCATACATGTCCTTTAGAACTCATGAGTTACTGAGAATATAAACCAATGACACTGTTATTTGATAAGAGCTATAAAAGGAAAAGATAATACCAATAAGATAGACTCTCATACAATGGTTTATTGGGTGGGCTGAAAAGTTAACATGAATCACATTTTCCTAATTGAATCATATTTTTTGATGTCATAGCTTGTTGCCTAAGGACCCTCAGAAGGCCATAAGGCAGAGCACAGAATTACTTAGTAATAACATTTTAGATTTTTTTATAAATCATATTTTTTGTAAGGGGAAGTCTTTTGGTAAAGATATTAATTTGCTAATTATTAAAATAATTCTAGTGTTTTAAGATGTATTGTTAAGTAAAAAACAACAACAACAAAAAACAAGGTGTACAACAATTGCACAGTCAAGTACCTTTAGGGTGAAAATGGGAGAATCTATACAACATAACAAAACATAAAACATAATATGATATGTGTGTGTGTCTATGTATCTCCTTTCTTTGGAAATATCTGTAAGAAACCAGTAATATTGAGACTTCCCTGGCAGTCCAGTGGTTAAGGCTCCACGCTCCCACTGCAGGGGATACGTGTTCGATCCCTGGTTGGGGAACTAAGATCCCACATGCCGCTAGGCCAAAAAGAAAAAAAAAAAGAAACGAGTAATATTGACTCTTAGGAGAAAAAAATCGGTGTCTGACAGCAGGGTGGGAGGAAGATTTGTCAGTTTATCCTTTGTTCCTTTTGAATTTTGTACCAAAATAAATCAAAATTGTGGGAACAGGTATCACCTGGGAGGGGCATGAGGGAGTTCTCCAGGGTGCTGGAAATGTTCTGGGCCTTGGTCTGAGTGATGGTTAAGTGGGTGAATACATGTGAAAAGTTATCATTCCATACACTTAAAATCTATGCACTTTATTATAAGTTATACTTCCAAGAAAGTGGTGACTTTCAATGAAAAAATTAAATATATTAAAATAATTTTTTATTTTGTTGGTTTTTGTTGTTTTTTGGGGGGCGGGGGGCACCGTATGGCATGTGGGATCTTAGTTCCCCGACCAGGGATCAAACCTGTGCCCCCTACAGTAGAAACATGGAGTCTTAACCACTGGACTGCCAGGGAGGTCCCCAAAATAATTTTTCAAGAAGAAAAATAATAAAGTCAGACCTTGCCTTGCTCCACAAAAGTAGATGTGTTTCTGAAAAGTTTACTTAAGCCAGTTTCTATAAAGCGAAACATAATTTCCAGTTGGCTTCCATGATAATGTCTAAGAAGTGGTTGTGGACTTCAACCAGTGCTGGTCTTGATCTGAGCATTGGAACCCTGCTGGGGTGGACCCTCCCGACCTCTGAGTCTGGGCTTGATGATAGTGAGAGAGGGGAAAGGTGATGAGTCTCCCTGAAAGGCCTGAGAAAGGGGAGCCCAGCAGAGAACAGAGGAAAAAAGTTATTTACGGAGCGCCTCTGTGTCTAGGCCCTGCACACACTGGCATAACCAAGGCAGACAAAGAACCCTTCTGAGAGGCAAGAGAGAAAATAAAAATTGGAAAACAGAACGATATACGTTAATCCACTCATATGCTCAGCATTTTAACATTTTCAAAGCCCTTTTACACCCATTAGTTCATTTGACCCCAAAACAATCCCATGAATGGACAGGGCACGTGTTGTTCATCCCATTTTATGAATGAGGAAGGAAGCTGAGGCACAGAGAGCGAAGTCACATGGAGATAACAGAGTCAGAACTCAACCCGTGTTTTAAAATTCTAAGTCCGATGTGATTATTGCCGCTTCCCAGAAAGGTCACAGAGCATCCGGTGTCAGTCCTGGCTTCCCCACTTACCAGAAGTGTGATTTGCAGTGACTTGCTGAATCTCTCTCTGCCTCCCTATTCGCATCTGTACAATGGAGTTGGTTTTAGATTAAATGCACCAATACACTGAAAGCACACAGTAAGTGTTCATTAAAAGTTAGCTCTTGAGGGCTTCCCCGGTGGCGCAGTGGTTGAGAGTCCGCCTGCCGATGCAGGGGATGCGGGTTCGTGCCCCGGCCCGGGAAGGTCCCACATGCCGCGGAGCGGCTGGGCCCGTGAGCCATGGCTGCTGAGCCTGCTTGTCCGGAGCCTGTGCTCCTCAACGGGAGAGGCCACAACAGTGAGAGGCCCGCGTACTGCAAAAAAAAAAAAAAAAAAAAAAAAAAAAAAAAAAAAAAAAAAAAAAAAGAAAAGAAAAGTTAGCTCTTGGGACTTCCTTGGTGGTCCAGTGGTTAAGACTCTGTGCTTCCAATGCAGGGGCTATGGGTCTGATCCCCGGTCGGGGAACTAAGATCCCACATGCTGTGGTGCGCCGCCAGAAAAAAAAAATTTATCTCTTGTTTTTATTCCCAGAGGTAAAGAGAGACACAGTTAAAATGCCCAAGATAAGAAATGAGAGAATCATGGAGAGAAGAGGGTAAGGAGAAGAAATCAGAGGCAGAAATGGCTCCAGCATGTCAGTGGCTCAGGGAGTTGGAACCAGAAGGATGTGACCAGGTAGAGGCCAGGGTCAGGCCAGGAGCACCAGTAGGAAGGTGCCCTCACCTCCACCTTGGCCTTTGACTTGCAGAAGCTCACTGTGTATAGGCCGAAGGCCAGCTAGCAACTGGCCCAGGATAGAGCCTGAGGCCAGGCAGAGGAGAGAAGAGATGGAAAAGGCACCTGGATCACCTTGAGGGTTGCAAGCTCAAGACGTGGACAGGTGAGCAAGGTGGCTTCACTCAGTTACCTCAGGATGCCAGACTTCGTGGATGGTGTCGTGCTGGCAAAAAGTAACAACCAGACCTCTGTTGGGGGATGAGGGATAAGAGGGGGGCTGATTTGCCAATTTCCATGGCAGGAACACTCCCACCATGGCCCATTTCAGGAAGAAGCAGGGCCCTGGGGTCCAGTCATGGGGCAGAGACAGGCAGCCAGAAGGAAAAGGCAAAGGTATGAGGCCACAGTCATTGTTAGGAGACCCTTGTCCTGGTCCCTGAGAGAGTCCACAGAAGTGCCATATGACCTTGCACACATCATTCGCACCTCTCTGACCTCCAGTCACCTCAATGGAAGAGAAATAATGCCTGCCATGTTGGTGGCCTGACAGTGCTAGTGTGAATCCAGGCCAGAAGGTGTTTTTCGAGCACTTACTACGTGCTAAGTTCTGGGATACAGAGATGAATAAACGAGCTCTGAGAGGCATCCAGGGGCCAGATCACAGAAAGCCTGGTGGACTGTAGGAGGGAGGCATCAGATGGACTTCTTACCGTGATGCCACAGGAGGGTTGGGACCAGGACCCTGGATGGGAGTTTCAGATGGAAAAGAACTCCTGTGTCTGCTGTTTGGAGTACGACCACCAGGGGGCGAGTGTATGAGTGCAGGAGCCGGGGAGCAGCTCTTGCAATCAGTCACCTGAGAGAGCGCATGGTGGCATGGACCAGAGAGGTGGCTGTGTGAGAGGTGTGGGGTGCGAGGAGGCCCCATCTGGAATATATCCTGAAGGCAGAAGCAACTAGACTTGCTGCTGGAACAAATTATCCCAGGAATGTTGCTACATAGAGAGCGTCGCTAATAACAACTCCCAGCTGTTGAGCCCCTCCTGTGGGCCAGGAGCTTTCCCTGCATTATCTCCTTTGGTTTTCACACCAAGCATGCAAGGAGGCATTGCTCAATCTATTTACAATAAATAAATGCAGGCTCAGAGACACTGAGGGATGCGCCCAACATCCCACAGCAAGCCCACCACAGAGTTGGGATTTGAGCCTTTTAGACTGTCATGGGTGCCCTCCCCATGATACCAGCTGCCCCTAGGATTTTGGTACATAATAGGGCCTTAAATATTATGTTTGCAAAATATTTACTATTACAGGCCCTTATTTCATTACATTCATAAACTCCTGCCAGCTTTATTGAGGTATAATTGACAAATACAAATTGTATAGATTAAAGACGTACATGATATTTTTGATACATTCATAAACTTAAAAAGTTGTAAGTACTACACACCCACCAGAATGGCTAAAATTTAAAACAAACAGGGACTTCCCTGTTGGTCCAGTGGCTAAGACTCCGTGCTCCCAATGCAGGGGGCCCAGGTTCGATCCCTGGACAGGGAACTAGATCCTATACGCCACAACTAAGAGTGCACATGCCTCAACTAAAGATCCCGCATGCCGCAACTAAGACCTGGGGCAGCCAATTAAATAAATAAATATTTTAACAAACAAACAAAAACCCTGCCTGTGCCAAATGCTGGCAAAGATGTGCGCGATGGGAAACTCTGATCGCTGATGATGGGAATGCAAAATGGTACAGTCACCCAGGAAGACAGCTTGGCAGTTTCTGAGAGAGGTAATCATACACTTACCATATGACCCAGTGATCCAATTTTAGGTATTTACCTTAGAGAAATGAAAATGTATGACCACAAAAAAAACCTGAACATGAATGTTTATAGTTCATAGCAGCACTATTCATAATTGCCCCAAACCACAAATCACCCAAATGTCCTTCAGCTGGTAAAGGGTAAACAAACCACGGTATACCCACTTAGGGGATACTACTCAGCAATGGAAAGGAACAAAGTACTGGTCCATGAACAGTGTGGACGAGTCTCAAATACATGAGGCTAAGTAAAAGGAGCCAGATCCAAAAGTCTCCATACTGTATGATTCCAAATATATGACATCCTGGAAGAGACAAAACTATAGGTCAGAGAACAGAGCAGTGGGTGCCAGGGACCAGAGGGTGAGGGGAGAGGATGACTACAAAGGGGCAGCACAGGGAAACTTCTTGGGGTGATAGAGCTGTTCTATGTCTTGATTGTGGTAGTGGTTGCGTGACTGTACCTTTGGCCAAAACTCATAGAACTATTTTATAAATGGTGGATTCTACTGTATGTAAATTATATGTCAATAAACCCTAACTCATTTAGTGCCATAGTAAGGCCACTTCCCCCATTCCCCACTCAGACTAACCATTGCTAGGGAACCCCTGGGGACCTGAGACAGGGCTCCCAAGCTCAAGAACTGGTCCTGCCCTTTCTGAAGGGACTGTTCATCAGAACCACTGGTGAGCTTTAAAATGCTGATGTCACAGCCCAGCCAAATGAGGGGTTCTGATTTAATGGCCTTGGGGTGCAGCCTGAGCACTGGGAGTCTTTCAAAAGCTTCCCAGGCGATTTAAATGACCTAGACACTGAGCTCCCTAAGAGCAGGGCCTATGATTTACTCCACTTTGTATTCCCAGGTACTCCATAAATATGTGCATTGCAGTGCATAGAGGCAGACAGTACAGAGTGAAACGGTGAACGCCTGTAATAATCACGTGTGGCCACCACTGCTCTGAGCGTTGGACCCCCTCCCCCGCAGTCCCCAGGGAGGTAGGACCATGGTTAACCCCCTTTGCCAGGTGAGGAAACCCCAGCCCAGAGTAATGAAGTCTCACCCAAGACAATAGAGCCAGTAAGTAGCAGAGCTGTGTGGAGGCCTGGACCCACTAACCACTGGGGATACTGCCCCCCAGTGCTGGCTATGGGCGGACTTTGGAATAAGACGAGCCAGGGTTTGAGTCTGGGTTCATTACTTACAGCCTGGTTGACCATGGACAAGTTATTTAGCCTTGACTGGTTTTACCTTCCTCATCTGTATGTAAAATGTGGACAGTCGAACTGACGCCAAAAGGCTGTTACTGAATGAATGAGATGACGTGTGCCGAGGGCTGACTGCATAGTAAATGCTCAATAATTCTAGCAATAATGAATGTAGGAAGAAATCAGTGAGTGAATGAGTGAATGCCATTCCTGGAGCCCCAGGACCAGGAGGGAAGGCAGGGAGGGGCAAGGTCTTCCGCTGACTCGGGGTCCACGAGGCCCTCCAGAGATGCCCCCACCCTGGCATCTGCCAGCCTTCCCTCCTCCCACCCCCAGCTCCCCTTCCAGGGTCAGGGCACGTGGGCACCAGAGCCACCAGACTGCTAGGGGAGCCTCCAGCATTTTAGATGTAAGGAGCTTCAGGAGTGAAAATTTGAACCCCTTAGAGTCTTCCCTTCCTGATGTAGAACATGAGCCTGGGACAAATAGGGTCATTGTGTGAGCAAAGCCAGGGTGAGATGCAGCCAGGGAATGTCAGAGACTCCCCCAGGTCACACAGGCCTCTCTGAGCTACCAGGAGAGAAGCCTTGAGGATGGCACCCTCTTGGTGTCCATGGCTTTCTGGTGGGACCCTGAGTTCTGCCAGGTCCAGGCTCTGCTCTACCCTCTAGTCACTGCACGTTTCCACATCGTCACACTCATTCATGAAAATAAGCACTCCATTCCGGCCAGTGCTTCCAGGTTGCGTTTCCCAGCGGCCGCTGGGGTACCTAGCCTCTCGGCTCTGGCACTGATGCCTAGTGATCCCACGTGGTGTCAGCTCAGGATCCCGGGAAGGAGGGCAGGGTGGGTGAGTTTTCCTTTGGTCCTTTTTTTTTTTTTTTTTTTTGCGGTACACGGGCCTCTCACTGTTGTGGCCTCTCCCGTTGCAGAGCACAGGCTCTGGACGTGCAGCCTCAGCGGCCATGGCTCACGGGCCCAGCCACCCCGCGGCATGTGGGATCCTCCCGGACTGGGGCACGAACCTGTGTCCCCTGCATCGGCAGGCG